GAGTGATTAACACATGGAATTCACTGCCACAGGAAGTGGTGGCGGCTACAAGCATGGACGGCTTCAAAAGGGAATTAGATAAGCATATGGAGCAGAGGTCCGTCAGTGGATATTAGCCACAAGGTATAGATAGGGGCTCTGGGGCAAGTGATGCTCTGTCTTCTTGGTGCTTGGGGGGGTCAACAATGGGAGGGCTTCAAATGTCCTGGCCCCACTGCTGGACCTCCTGATGGCACTGGTATTTCTGGCCACCGTGTGACACAGAGTGTTGGACTGGATGGGCCTTTGGCCTGATCCAACATTGGAGTCTCTTATGTTCTTATGTTCTTATATTTGGCCTGTTCAGTTAGAAGAGAAAGGGGTAGTCCGCAGTCTAGGATTCCTTGAAGATTGTGTGGGGGAGGGGTTGGAGACCTGGTCCTTGCCTGGTCCCAGGTGGATATCTGAGTCCGAAGGGTGGCCAGATCCAAATTGCTGGGCGAAAAGAGTCCTTTTTATACATTTGTGTCTGTTGGACCATTGGGTTTTGAATGTAGGAGGAGTAGGGGAGAAACTGGGTTTTTTTGGTAGAGCTACGAAGGGCTGGTCAGGGGAACGTGTGTGGATTTAAATGGAAAAGGCCCCTGTTAAGTCCGTGCTTAACAAAATAGCCAGAGAGTGATTCAGCAAAACTCAGGTTTATTTCAGCTCGACGATCAACTTCTCTGACACGGTACAACTTCTCTGATAGCCCGAACAGCTTCCCATTGCAGCTGCTCGGTATTTAAACATTCCCGGCTAACATAGCCACGCCTATAATACAGTTAAACAACCTATCAGGTTGAGACAATAAGGACCAATCAGAGTCTTTCCCGCTTATACACATTTGAACCTGATTGGACGCAGTAGTCTTGAACTTCAATCCCTGTTCAAGACGAAGCTTAACATTGCTTCCTTATGAGATGATTCACAACCATCTTAATGCATTCTAGGCAGCACAGAATACATTACAGCCCCCTTCAGGATCACCGACCTGACCTGCTCTTTTGCAGGGTACAAGACAGACAATTGAGGATTTCCTCCATCGCACTGAAAATGGATGGAGCCCTTACTTGCCATGCTCTCTGTGCTTCATTTGCTACAGGTGAGTCCCCCAAAGCTGGGGGTGATGCATGAATTGCATTATTTTGACAAAACAGTGGGAAGCTTGAATGCCTGGAGGGTGGTCCTCCGATGTGTGTGTGTTTTAGGATTGCCAGGGCTGGTGCAAGGCTTCTTTGCACCCTAGGCAAGGCTAGCTACTTGTAGTTTTAGGAATTACAGGGAGTCCTGCTGGACTAGACTAAAGCACCATCTATTTTAGCTTCTTGCTTCCCAGCATATGTCTAGCCAAATACTTTCAGGAAGCCCACATGTAGGGCACGAAGACAATAATTCTCTATTGTTTTGTTCCCAGCTACCATTATTCAGTAGCACACTGACACTGAACCTGAAACCATTTGATTAATGACCTAACCCACTTGGGCTCTTTTCAAGGAAAATGGTATGTTGACAGCCACCGGAGCAAAGCTGTCATCGGTGCCCTCAAGGGGTCCGGCTGCACACAGGGCTCGACTTCTGGAGCAGCCGCTTGCCGAGAATCCTGCTGGCAGCTGGCCGTGGCCTCCTCTCCCCAGGAGCCCCCGCGACAGCAGGCTGTCACACGAGGAACGGTTGGGCAAGAGTTGAGGGGATGCTCCACCTCGCCTTGGCTTAGGCTAAAGGGAATAGAACCAGACTCCTGTTGGTGAGAAAATTCAAGCCCTTTCAATCTCCGATATTCATTGAGATGTCTTCCTGAAGAGCTGGTTTGTGAAATCACTGCTTCCACTATAATAACTAGAGGGACCTCAGTGGGGTATAGGGCCATATAGTCCATCCTCCGAAGAAGCCATTTTCTCAAGGTCCCATCTGTAGGTTGGCAACCCTAAACAATGGGGGTTAAAAAAGTTAATCATGACACGTACTTAAATCCCTTTGAAGTAGGGAGTCTGCTTCTGAAGGTGAATATGGAGTACGGTACTGATGCACCTTGGTGTTTAGTCATGCCGGCCACATGACCACAGAAATGTCTTCGGACAGCACTGGCTCTTCGGCTTTGAAACGGAGATGAGCACCGCAACCCTAGAGTCGGATTTGACTGGCTTTCGAGCAAGGGAATCTTTACCTTTTACTGATGCCAAACAAAGGAAGGGGAACTTGCCTGTAGGTTGTTTTGGGAAACATCCCTCCTCTCTAAGAAGGGCATTGGTGGTTCATGCAGAATGTTGTTACTTTTTTGTGCTCACTTCTGTCATCCATTGCTTAAGGTACCTAGTGTCAGGAATCATAATGAGATTTTATTTTGTTTGTACTGGTTTTAAATGGCAACTGCAAAGCATGGTATCTGAGGAAGTGGGCTTGCACACGAAAGCTTATACCTTGAATTAAACTTTGTTAGTCTTAAAGGTGCCCCTGGACTCAAACTTTGTTCAACTGCAGAGCAGTCATTCCATGCCGGCAGGATTTTGGGTGGGAGGCTTCTGGGAGGAGAGCCAGTTCTCAGGCTGATTCAGAGAGAAATCCAATGGGACTCCCCAAATTCCAGGACATATATTGTAGATGCTCATTCCCTGCTGGGTGAGCCAGTTGCTTGGATCCAGCTGACACTTCTGATTTCTCCTTGCAGGTACCGTCAAGATAGTCATCATAGCAGTGCCAGCCGCTACAGTTCCATGCATCTGTGCAGCCGTTGTAGTGGCCGCTGTTGCATACGCTGCTGTGAAAATATACCAATGTTCCAAGAGTAAGCCCAGAATCCCCTGCTCTAGTTGCTTCCCCATATTCTCATTTTCCTCGCTTTTTTGTCCCTGTTGATTTAGGTGGGGCGTCTGTTTTGCAAATGTTTTGCTCCCTCTAGTGCACTAATATTACATCGATTTACGTCCGGCATAAAAACCTATAGTTTAAATCTGCAGGGAGATATGCTGGCTATAAAGCGATGTAATATCGAATCTACCACCAGAGGGAACAAAACATGTGTAGAACAGGAACACCCCCCCAAAGGAAAACATTGTTGCACTTACCTGTAACTGTTCTTCATTGAGATGTGACTGTGCAGGCACACATGCATACTGCAGAGGCCATGCAGGCCGGCCACTGGAAGATTTTTTAGCTGGCTTAGCAACAGAGCAGGAGGAGCCCCTCCCAACTGGAGCTGTTGGAGCCAATTTCCCACCTAACGATCACATGCTTCTGGGTGGGTACCAGGGGTCATTCCGTAGAAAAAGAGGTGCAGGAGCTCATTAGCATAACTCATTAGCATAACTCATTTGCATATGCCACACCCCCTGACATCACCGGAAGTGCGTCAGAAGGCAACGCCCACCACTCAGGCTCCACTGGACTGTTTTGGATTGCTAGCTATTGGGCGAGGGGGGGGAACGTGCAGATCTGTCCTCCCAGAGGAGGGACAGCTTGTGCCTGAATAAAACTTGGTCTTAAAGGTGCCATTGGACTGTTTTGGGCCTTTTGGCTCTGCAACTTACCTGGCTGCTTCTTGCTCTAACTGAGGGCTGCTGGGAGCAGGGGGTGGGGCTTGTTGCATGTGCCCGCCCCCTGGGCTCTTTACTGCCGGAGCTCTGCTCCTGTGCGCTCCTGCAGGAAATGACCCCTGGTGGGTACACATTGTTGAGGCCCTATAGGAATCCTTTTGAAACCTCTTTTTGAAACCTCGTGCAGGTTTATCCACATCTCACAGGTCCCAGATCTACTGAATGTAAAGGACAACCCCCATCCAGGAGTGGAGAACCTACACTTAACTGCTTGGTTGCTGAAACCAGCGGTCACTCCTTTTCCAATTCGGTCACTGATACTCTTGAAAATGCACAAAATCCCTCGACTAGGCTTTCCTATACTTTTAAATGGAAACGTTTCCTACGTTGGCTGAGAAATAGACAGGTGGCACCTTTCACATGTCCATTGTTTCTAGTATTAGAATAGTTATTGTCCCTCAAACACTCCGGACTATCAGATTCCTCTATTATGGTCCACTGAACAGCAGTCTCTGCTTTCCATGTCCCTGTAGAGGGGGATTCACTCTTTTCACACGAGGTTTCAAAAAGATTCCTCAAGGGCCTCAACAATGTGTACCCACCCAGAAGCACGTGATCGTTAGGTGGGAAATTGGCTCCAACAGCTCCAGTTGGGAGGGGCTCCTCCTGCTCTGTTGCTAAGCCAGCTAAAAAATCTTCGTGGCCGGCCTGCATTGCAGTATGCATGTGTGCCTACACTGTCACAACTCAATGAAGAACAGTTACAGGTAGGTGCAACAATGTTTTTCTTCGTGTGTAGGCGGTGGTGGTCCTGTTCTACACATGTTTTATGAAAGGGTGCTCTCATGTCTGTGTACCTCCCTAAAATTTCCTTTGTTTGTTATTATTTTGGAACAATGACTCATTGCTACCCGACCACAGATGTACGATCCATAATAATATACATCTTAGAAGACTCAGACTCTACACAAGCTTATTGTTCTATTGTATTCTGTAGCCACCTCCCTTCTTGGGGCTTTATGCTCCAAACTTATTTTAAAAACTACAATTGCTGTATGGGTAATTTTGCCCTTTGAATTACCATAAAACAAACATTTTATATACCCTGTTTCCCCGAAAGTATGACATTCCCCGAAAATAAGACCTACTTACAGTTTTGCCTCTCGCTGAAATATAAGGCATCCCCCGAAAATAAGACCTCCCCAATAATAAGGCCTCCCCGATAATAAGGCCCCCCGAAGCTACCGTAACTCTGGACTCTGGGCTGTAGCGGTGGGCGCCGCTGCGCGGCTCACTGTTGGCCGCAGCGCAGCCGGAGCAGACAGGAAGTGCGAGGTCTCTTTTAATCAGAGAGCCCGCGCCGCCGCCAGGACAAGCTGCCGCCTACTGTACTGTATTCTTCTTCATGGAAAAATAAGACATCCCCTGAAAATAAGACCTAGCGCATCTGTGGGAGCAAAAATTAATATAAGACACTGTCTTATTTTCGGGGAAACACGGTACTAAGGCACTTAACAGCTTATAAAAAAATCAGCTCATGCAATTTGCATCAGTAAAATATATTTCTAAATCCTTTGATCCAGCAGTATTTAAAGCTTATTAAAAAGCAGGCCTGTAGACTGGTTCTGTTAAGCAAGCTAATGATTTCTCTCAGACTTTCACTAGACCATTGTTTTCACACCTGGAGTCTGCACCATATTTCGCTTTTATCTGTGACTCCCCAAATAGCCAGCTTACAGAGGGAGACAGAAGAATACCTTTTAATATCATGTGTAAATTTTCTATAAAAATATAAGTAGCTCCTTAAAAAATCTTAACCTAGCAATTTATAAATTATAAGGTTTAAAACTGGTCTTGGCCAGTAGGCCTACTGCCAAAACAGCCCTAATTCAAGCGTCTTCGTTCATTGTGTAGCATTTTAGCTATCTGGCACATTTCACTGGAGTCTTCACATTTCCCAAGGCCTTGCTGTCTAGGTGCTTATCTCAGCTCTTTTGCTGGGTTTTCGCTTGGCCTTTCTTTTTCAAACCATTTCAGGCCTACCTTTTGGCCATCCTGTTTAAAAAACATTGATTACTATTAGCAAAGTAAATATAAGGCCATTGATTAGTATTTCATATTACAAAACTAGCAACAATACTTTGGGGGAGGGCCCTGGCCCTCATTTGCAGAACAAAGCACTGAGGCAACCCTTCCTGCCCTCCCTCTCATGATCTGCCTAAGTTCACAGAATCCACATTGCTGTCAGATGGCCATTCAGCCTCTGTTTCAAAACCTACAAAGAAGGAGAGCCCACCACCACCCGAGGAAGCCTGTTCCACTGAGGAACCGCTCGAACTGTCAGGAAGTTCTTCCTAATGTTTGGGACTGTGCCTCCGCTGGCCAGCCGTGGACATTTTCTTCTCTAGCTTAAAATTCCAAAAGATGGGGGGCACCACACCTTCAGAGACGGCATGTGCTGCCCCCAGCCAGGGTTTAACTGTAGTTAAGTAGAACTGCCATACATCTTTACGAGCAGTTGCCCCTGGGAATTGAAGTCTTTAGTTAGACATCCCAAATTAGATTACAAAGATGTGAATTTCACCAGTTATTCAGCTTTAATTGTGATCTAATTCAAGCTGAATAACTGGTGAAATTCACATCTTTGTAATCTAATTCAGTTCACTGGCTCATGGTGAAAAAGATTGCGTGCTCTCACCTCCTTTGCAGTTTAAAGAGTAGACAAAGAAATGGGAAGAGAGCTATAAACTCAAATCCCCGCACCTCTGGGTGCAGGAAATGACTGTTAATCAGCCAGTCACAGGACTGCTTTGGGATGTCTAACTAAAGACTTCAATTCCCAGGGGCAACTGCTCTTAAAGATATATGGCAGTTCTACTTAACTACAGTTAAACGCTGGCTGGGGGCAGCACAGGTTCCCTTCCTTGACCGTGATGATCTGGCTACAGTGATCCATGCGATGGTCACCTCGAGGCTCGACTATTGTAATG